AGGGGCCCTTTAGAGTAGTGAGAGATCTTCACCCTGAAACCCACAGCATCCCTTTTCAGCAGGAAGTAGCTAAGAGAATACGCTATCCCCTTTTCCTTATTAATCAGGGTGAAGTCTCTCTCAGGGAGGAGTGATAGGGAATGGCAAAGGACACACTGACAAAGGAGATTAATCAGAACTGGCTTTGACAAGCATTGTCATAATTGGACGATTAAAACAGACATTCGGGGTGGGGGGAAGAAGAACGAACTGGGGAGGAGGGTAGAGAAAACAGAGCAACAATGAATGAATGAAAACCCAAAATCTCTATAAATGTTCATTAAAACTAATACAATTTAATAATAATTAAAAAAATTTACTGTGTGGAACAGCCTTTTCTTTCCTAATCTAATGTTATCATTCCAGCTTTTCTGTTTGTGCTGCTACTGATGTCCATGCACACTCAACTCCATGAAGACTATTTTAAAAATACACCAAGTAGGTCAAGGGTGACCTTAATTTCCTAGATGTTCTTCTGTAATATTTTGTTGCAATTTAAAAAAGAAATTGGTCATTAGGTTTAGTTATTTTATAATGACACTTGTGGGGTTTTTTTTCTTATATTTTATCATTAGATAGTTGATTAGATAAAAGGAAGAGGACATTTCTTTTTCATTTTACACACCCAAATGGACAGAATTCGATTAATGTTTTAATTATGCAAACTTCACTATTAATACAGTGCCCAGAGTACAACAGGTATTCATCTCTGTTGAATGAGCATATGAATTTCTACTGATGCGTTGGTATCATCAATCATGTTTTTAGTTGCATCCTAGACTCTATCTACTTGAGGTTCAAGTGAGATATCTTTGAAATCTTAAAATATTTAGAATAGAAAGGTGAAATAAATAGTTAAAGAATAATAGGTGGATGGAAGAATATATACAGGTTTGGACCTATATCAGCTATGTAATAAAATCTTTGTTGGTTTTAGAAAATAAATAACAGTAATTATGACACTAATTCCTTGATAAGCCTAAACTCATTGCCATTGAGTTTATTCCAATCCATGATGACACGACTCTCTGTCAGGAGTCTGAGTCTGTAAATCTTAATGGTCGCAGACCTTTCTCTCACAGTGTGGTTGGTGGATTCAAACTGTTGGTCTGTGAACTCACTACCAGGGCTCCTAGTTTCTTGGATATAAAAAAGTATATGTTAGAAAATAAATATATGATAAACTATGGATGAAGGAAGCCTATATATGGCTGTTTTATATTTTAGAGTGCTTTTATATGGGCGATGACATTATGCTTAAAAAGTAGCATGGTTCTGGAAGGACTGCTCTCTGGATTGGTAGTCTCCCCAATCACCTATGAATTTGAATCTAAGTTTTGGAAAGAATTTATAGTTCTCTCTTGCCACATATTGCTCCAGGTCAAGTTCTCCTTTATATTCCTTTTGTTACAGTAAATCGCTTTATAGAATAAAACTTTGATCATTTTTAGGCTTGTACTCTAAATGTCCCTTTGTCTTTTTGGAAAAAAAACCCCAAAACAACAAAAAACTATTTGAAAATCTTCTTCCTTGTAGAAACAGTTTTTCATCTTAGAATCTTGACTTAGCTCATGTAAATTTTACCTTAAAACATCTGGAAAAAATTTCCAGCATATTATTTAATGTATGACAAGATTCACTATCTATAGTCCATCTGCTCTGTATATGTGGTGAACGTCTTCACGTCTATGTGCTAAGTGTTGATAACTCTGTCTCCTGCTAATTATCACTCAGCCATGATGAAAAAAAGTGACGACTGTTTTAAACTTGTAGACATAGGTCCTATCAATCAATGTTAATCTGATTATTTAATTTACACCTTTTCATCACAGTAAGTATTTAGAATTAAAAGCTAGACATGTGTAATTATTATTTCCTCTTGCAGCATCCTTATACAAATATGAAACAATATTCTGAATGCTGCCTTCACAACAGAACCATGGAGGAAGCCTAGATGAGCAGTAAAGATGCTTTGGTAACATCACATTCCAAATGGTGAACATAGGATATGAATTTGTAGGTGGATAAATGATACACCCAAAGTTTTACAGCATAATGTCAGAATTGGGAAGGAAACCCATATTTTACTACTTCTAATTTTGCTTGCAATTTTTTTTTATTAAAACATGCCTTTTCTCAAGGTTTAGCAAATATAGGGGACCACTTACTTGGAGTCAGCTAAATGAAACTACTGTTGCTGTGTACCATTGAGTCGTAACTCACCCATAGCTGACCCTCTGGTGGGTTTTCAGAGGAAGTTAGTTAACTGCACAGGAGAGGATTGCCCATGCTCTCATTCAATAATTATTATTATTATCTCCTTAAAATTTTAGACTGGGAAGCACATAAACTTGTAAAATCCATAGGAATTGATTACTTTGGCAGTTTGGGTGGCATAGTGGGTAAGAGGCTGTCAACCCAAAGATAGGAGGTTTCACCAGCTGCTCCACAGATTTCTTTTTCTTTAAAATGATTTTATTTTATTATTTTTTGTGTGTACCATCAAATCGGTTCTGACTGGTACAGGAGGAGAGTGCCCCTCCTTCTGCAGCAGAACAACTGGTGGATTTGAACCATGTACCTCTGGGATTGCAGTGCAGCTTCTTGCCACTAGGCCACCAGAGCTCCCTTAGATTTCTTTTTATAACTGTATTTTAGAATTCTTATTGAAAAGTCATTGGGTTTTAAAATAATTTAAAATGTTCTTGTTGTATAACACTGAGTTGGAACTGAACCACAGTCAACTCTTCAGTGGGTTTTCAGAGGCAGTTAACCACCAGGAGGTGACTATTTTTCTCCTGCGGAGCAGCTGCTTTTCATAGTAAAATATTTCCATACAGGCAAGTGAAATAATATCATTCACACAGTACTTTATACTGAACTTTAATAATTCACACCAACTTTGAAGATTGCACTAATACTGTCATCTTCTGCATGTTAATAAGGAGGAAGCTCTGGTGAGTTAGTGATAAGGACTTGTGCTGCCAACCCAAAGGCACACGGTTTGAATCCACCAGCTGCTCTCAAATCACATCCTTAACTGTGATGCAGGATATATACATCATATATGTGTGTGTGTATATATATATATGTGTGTGTGTTTATATGTATATGTATGTTTGTGTACACACACACACACACACACACACACACACACACAGAGCCAACCAATATACAACTACATGGCCCAGATCTCATTACTGTTCACACCAACAGCTAATTCCTGCCGCAAGATGTTCTGCCTGCTATAACACTACCTTAATTAATCTTCTGACTCTACTTTCTACTTTCTGACTGCTACCCATCTCAAACCCTACATTTTATATGAGTCAAAACTCAAATCATAGCTAAACCCGAATCACAGCTAACCCTTCCGGGGTTTTTAAGGCTGTAAATTGCCCTTGACAAGTATTCTCATTTAGACCTCTGGGTTTTTTCCACTGTTAACATTAAAGATTTCAGTTGCTAAATATACATGTTTTTTGTATATTTTCTTCTAAATTTTTCATAGACACTTTTCCCTCCTAAATAAGCATACATTTCCTTAAGCTCTGGCTCTCAATCATCCATTCATTGTGGTATTCCTCCGTAATGGTCAGCACAGTCCTGAGAGATGGCTAATAAACTATCCCATACAAGCATATGACAGGTAATAAACACAGTAAATATTTTAATAAACTAAGATAAGCTATTTCAGGAAATTATAAAGTGGCAATATGAAACTATAAAAAGATACTGCTGAACAAAAAGAATTACCAATTTGCTGACCAAAATATCTTTTCATATAAAAGTTCCAAGTACTGAGCTATGCCCTTTTTTAATTTATAGAAAAGAATCCTTACATCATTAAAAAAGTCCTGGTTTTCCAATAGTTACAATGACTTACGCGTTTCATAAAATTGCTAGTGTTCTGCTTACACAGCATTGAAAACTGAGGATAGAGGTAACTGTGTTTATGTTTTAAAGGGGTTTTGTAAGTTATTCATGAGACTAAAGCCTTATTTCATTATTATCAAGGGAAATTACAAATAATTTAAAAGCCTCATGCACCTAATGGAGTTACATATTTATTTTTCAACTTTATTTATATTTTAATTGCTTATTTTTCATATTTGTGCCCAGATTATAATTTTTGCTTAGTATCCATAGTTGATGTCTATTGTGAATAAATGATAATGCTATTTAAAAACACCAATTAGTCTATGATCATAACACTCTGACTGTGCCCCATCTTGTCTCAAAGTAACAATTACTTCTTACTATATTAAAACATTACATTTTCCTACACAACAACTTTTAGAATTATAACAGTAAAATCCATAGTTGTATATTAACTGATAGGACAATATTTGAATGTTCATTAGATTAATAAGAAGGAACAACTGCCAAAGAATTACACTAAATATTATCTAAAGTTAAGCTTCCTCCAATCCACCTTTAATTATTTTATTTAAGTATATAAACAATTTAATGTTTTATTATTATATCTTTGGATTCATAAGTTCACCTTTTTATAGTTACTGGAGTTAATTAAAGACAGCTCTCAAGGGGAAAAACTACTGGCTGTGCTCTCACGGCTTCTCACACCTGTTAGTATCAATCAACCATGGTCAAAACTTGAGCTTTACGAAATTTGCAGAAATAAACACTCAACTTACCTCCAGTAGATGAGTATACCCACAAGAACCACTAGACAGATAAAAGTCAGGGCTGACACGATCACAAGGGGTATAACTGTCTTCTTCTTGGATTCCAAACCCTCAGCTAGACCAATACGAGACTCATGGCTACTATTACTGGCCTCTGTAGTCAGAGAAAATTGAGAGAGTTGATACATAAGCTCCAAGTATAGTCAGAATATCTTTCAAGTAATTAAGTGCAACCTTCATGTTGTTACTTACCTTAACAGCTTTTACTTTGGGATGCAAAGAACTTCTACATTTGCAAGTTAATTAATTTAGAGAAACCAAAGCTTAAAAAGTAAGGCAGAGCATCAAAGCTAAACTAAAACATCTCAACAGAGAAAACAGAGGTGCCCAGCAAGATGTAAGCATAATAGAGCCTTGAAAAGCTTGCTAAAGGGGTTTAGGAGAATGAAAACAACAAAACGATCACCTTTTCAAAGAAAATGATCAGGAAAAGCAATGCTACTTATTGACTCATCACACACTAACCTGAGTTTTAAAAATTTGGTTTTAATGGAGTTATTTTGAATTTTATATTTTTTCTAATTTTTCTCAAGACTCAAATTAGAAGAGTTAATTTCATGAAGACAGTAATGCAACAATAATCCTCTTTGTATTAGGTAATCCCTTCAATTGAGCTAGTCATTTCAATTCCAAATTTAGATTGATTTTAAATGTATTTGTGAACAGTCTTTTAAAATGCTTTTTTCTAGAAAAATACAAATACTCTTGTATGTGAACTGAAGAAACATGCAGATCTAAGAAATTCTTCTCATGTATACAAATATAAATAATGAAGAATCCCACATTTAGTCTTTGGGTTAATAGGAAAATATCACAGATGACTATTTTTTGTGAATACTTGGAAACAATGAGGCACTGGTGCTTTCAAAATCACTGTAACTGGAGATATTTTTCCAAATTTTTCAGTTTCAGAACTACATAGTGTCAATGGTCAGTAACAAACTTTGCTCTCTTCTCTGAAGTATGCTCAATGGGAAATCAACGTGACTGAATATTAGGACTGTTTCTAGCAGGATGAGATGGTCATCCTGTGAGCTCTTGGTCCTGTCTACTTGTAGGAATTCTGAAAGAACCACATTTAGGCAACACAGTAGTTGGTTCCTACAATTGGTACACTTAGAGGTTTTTCAACTGTGTATCTAATTGAGAGAGAAAGGCTCAATTTTACATACTTAAAAATAAGAAAATTGAAGGTAATATACATATATGAATATAGCACAAAAATCTAGTGGCAAAAAGTTAATATTGTAAATGATAGTTTTTCTAAGCTAGAACAATTAAAGAAAGCACCAAGAATTTAATCTGCTTATAAAGAAAATATGCTATAAGAATATAAACAATACCCAAATGTTAAAAAAATTATCTTAGAATTATGGATGTATTTTCTAGAGAAAAAAGTGCATTTAGAACTTTACATTTCAAAATGTGACTAGAATATGATAAACTGCACAAAAGAACTAGGCTGTAAATTCAAGTAATTCTGAGATGTTACTATGCTTGGAGAAAAAGTCAAAGCTTTTTTTTCCTTTTTTTCTTTTATGTTACTCAGACTTCCAGGTCATCACGCAATCCAGGGAGACATATCTGAAGGCTAAGTGGATTGACAGGTGCACTGAAATTTAGAAAAACTCCTTATACTAAGTGGTCTTCCTGGTGACCACATTTTTCCTTGTGATGCTATTGTTACCTAAATGGGAACTCTGTAATAAATAAAACAGCTCACTTTGTAGAGACTCTGGTACATAGTAATTTTGGTGGTGGTTGTTGTTGTTATGTGTTGTCGAATTGTTTGCCACTCCTGGAAGACGTGGGCAGAAGTCAGGCCAGGCAATAGAGAAGCGACTCCTGGCAATAGCTTCTGACACGCCTACAGGTACAAAGCCCCAAGGCGGAGCCAAAATCGGTTGGGAGGCACAGAGGGGAGACTGAGGGACACATAGTAATTAGATATGTTAATTACTCTTATTATCTACATTGGTGGTTATTAAAATATGTTTTCCAGAACCATTGCATCAGCATTACTTGCAACTTGATAGAAAGGATAATTCTTGGGCGGACTCTCAGTTCTACTGAACAAGCAATTTTTGTTTTAGTAAGCCCTGTAATATGTAAATAGGTGCACATACACACAGCTCTCTTATATATGTAATGCATACACAGAGATTACATATGAATTATCAAATAGGTGATACATATATAAGGCATCTGTAACAAAGTATATAATATGTACATCACATAAAGCGCACAATACATGAATATACATGACTGCACATATTGGCTTGTAAAATGGACTCAAGCTCTCTGAGCCATGTGACTTAATAAATAAAACCTTTTAAATGAAGAATCAGAATAATAATTCCATGATAATTATATTTTATGAAACCCGTTTTACAAAATGGAATGCCACATGAAATGTACATAATTAGTTGGTTCTTTCTGTAATGAGGAACATCTCACTATTTGATTCTGAATTAATTGAGATTTAAATATCTGTTGTGATGATGCAGCCATATGTGTGGACTATCTAAATTATAAAATAGGAATCATCAACTAGTAGACAATTAGAAATTAAAGAACTGAGATGAATATTTCAAATGTTTGGAGACTAAAACAGTATCATTTTGACATCACAATTAAAGCATTATATATATATATATACATACATATATATATGTATATATGCACAATATCATTCTTAAAATAAAAACAGTCTCTAAGAAACAAACACCAATAATACTTCCAGTCTCAGTTTTGCATTTTACTTCCTATGTAATCTGGATCAAATATTCTAGTATTTTTGTATCTCTGCTCTCTCTTTACTTGACAAATACCAACATTTTGCCTTATCTGTGTTACTTAGAGGAACACTTTTAGAACTTGTTTCATATTCTGGAATATAAATAGTAAGTTTTAAGTTTAAAATTTTCTATGAACTTGGTATGAACTACAGACTCATAACTGGCCCTCCAGTGGATTTTGACAGGAGGAGACTGCCCATAATTTTTCCTCAGAGCAGCTGATAGATTCCAACAACCTGTCTTTGGGTTGGCCGTTCAACTTCTTACCCATTCGGCCATTGGACCTACCTATGAACTCGGTAGAGGGGTATATTCAATGAATGGATAAAAGATAGGATTTTGTTTGCATGTTGTTATGTGCCATCGAGTCACCTGGGTCTCATAGCAACCTTATGTATATTAGCTCTGAAAGCTGCCCTATCTTGCACCAATCTTATCATATATTACAGACTTAATCCAATTGCTCCATTCACTGAATCAATCTACCTCATCCTGGGTCTTCCTGTCCTGTGCTACCCCTGTACCCTTCCAAGGATGATGTCCCTCACCAAGGATTGGTCCCTCCTGAACAGGTGCCCAAAGTTATGTGAGACGGAGCGTCAAAATCCTTGCCTCCGGAGAGCAAAGTGGTTTTACCCTCTCCAGGACAGTCCCTGGTATGTTAAACACTCTTCTCCAGCACCACAACATTTATTTGCATACACATTTCTAAAAACGGGTATAAATTTTGCTAATCTTATTAGTTCTTACTTGATTCATTACACGACTTGATGATATTGTATGTTATATTCTTATTGTTTTCTGTTCATCAGTGGGGAAACACACTCCTAGTAATACAATAAATCTAAACAGAGTGAAACTTACTAACATTTAGTCAACAATTCTAGGTTTATCATTTTACAATATATAAGGTCTTTTTCTCTAATGGCAAAAATCTAGCAAGAAGATATCAATAACATAACTACCTAGTAAAACAGAAAAATGGAAAAATTTCTGTTATTTTATCTAAAAAGTCTAACACGATAAAATAAAAACACACCCAATTATTATACTTGAGGGTGGATAGCAGTCATATGCCAAGTAGGAAATATAGTTACTTATTAATTATACACCTATAAATACTAGAGTTTGAATGTTTCAATTAGAATACAACAACAGATATCAAAGAAAATGAAGAAAACCTTCTACATCATATTGTACCATCTTTTAATTGCTGTGCACTAAAGGGAAATTAGGTAACTTATTCAAGAATGAATATAGCAAAGAAGAAAAATACCCCTGAAGAGACAAATAGCTATGCTCCGGATTTAAAAGATCCACTTTTATGAGGACAAGTTGTTACATCAGCCTATCTTTTTTAAAACTTGCTGTCAAAATTCAAATATATCCAATGCTAATTTTAAAGATTCTTAAAATAAAAGTCAAATTATCAAATTCTTGCATTCAATTCATTGAAATCCCTTAGTATTTCTACGTGCAATGTTGACTTTCCTTTTTCTTTCTTCTGACGTTTACAGCAAACATCTGTACTATATATGCTTCAAGTAAATTGTTCTAAGAAACATCTGGCTGACAAACCGATTTACATAAAGCACATTAACAAACGAAAGGCATTCCTATAGAAAACGTTCTCTTGTTTTTTTACATCTTGTCATACAATACCTACACCTACTATGCATATTAATACACAAATTTGTAACATCTTAGGAAGGAGTGTAAAAGCAGACACAGCAGAATGCATTTTGTTGGTAAACACTGCCCTCTTTAGGCAACCGGAAAGTAGTCATAGAACAAAATATTTCCTAGCTTATTACTGACTTTCACAATTTGGCAACAGAACTTGTGAATTTGAAAGCCCTCCGAGTGGATGTGGACCTGGAAATGATACCACGCCTTCCTGTGGGAGGAGTGATGGGGCGGTGCTCGTACCACATTACCATCAGATTTTGTAATTAATTTTATAGTTTCACAGACAACTTACATTTTAGAATCCAAGGGTGAAAAATTGAAACTATCATCTAAAAATAGCACACTTTAAGCTTGCCATCAAAAAAGCAGTGGAATCAAAATGCATTATACACATAAAATGGCTCCCACAGACACTAGGCATCTTGGAGAACATGAAATATCAACAATGAGTGAAAATCACCTTCCCTATTTTGGAGAGAAAGGAATTAAGGATGAGAATATGTTGTGTGATGATTTAAATGATTAAATCTTACTTTGAGAACTGAAAATTATTTGTTTCCTCTTTTTAGTTTTTTAAAAATGGGATGTGCTCTTTTTCCATAACTTTTCTACTTCACTTTCAGAGGATGGGAGAAAACCACCACCCCTGAGTCTATCTCTGATCTGTAACTAACCTGCCTCTGAAACGTTGAACACCTCTGACTGCTCACTAGCAAGAGACGGTGTTGAGGACTCTGGGGATCCGAGGGTTATTTCAGAGTCTCCTGTCTCCAGGACCCCGTCGGCATCTCTCTCATTCCCATCGGGGAAAGTGAAATCTGTGGACGTCTCGTTATCACTGAGGCTCTCGGAGGTGCTCTGCCCTGACCCACTCTCTTCATCGCTGGCCAGGATGGACCAATATTTGGATTTGGGGCTGAGAGGAAGCAGGGATCTACTGGTCTGAGTGTTGTTTTCCTCCTTTGCATCACTGTGCTTTGGGGGCGGTGCTTTTGCTGGTGGCGCTCTGCCAGGACCTCTGTCTGTGCCAGTCTGACTGTCTGAGGCTCCACCTGTGACCTTCTTCTCTTCGTCAGCATTCTCAGACGGTCGATGTGAGATCGCTTTATCCTGATCCGTAAGACTGCTGTCCTGGCTGTCTAACTCATTCATGACCTTTTCCTGTGACTCTCTATCAGATGAGCAGGACATACACGTATGTATGAATAAGCCATCTCTACCTCTGCCATCACCATCATCATCCTCACCCTCATCATCAACCCCTTCCACATCATATCCTCCATCATCATCGTCATCACCTTCACCTACTAAATCAGCATAGGAACTGGCAGTGTGAGTCAGTTCAGAAGAGGCTTGAGAAGGAAATGGCAATGTGGTTGGGCTTAGGGACCCATCCTGGTTTGGAGAAATGGATGTAGTGGAAACATACACATGTCCAGAATGCTCAGCAGATACACGGGCATCTGAATCAATTGTTGGAATACCAGCAAATGGCCCGGTAGTCACAGAACTTTTGGTGGAGGAGGAGACATCATCGTCATGTTCAAGCTTACTGAATGGTGTGACTGGCAAGACGTCCACAGGTAACACAGGAGTGGCTACTGCACGCCTTTCCTGAGAGGGAAAGTTAAGGCTAAGTGTCAAACTGGCAGTTTGAAACAACTCATCATTACTGGACCATGGAGGTACCTCTTGCTGGGGACTTTCGCTGTCAGGCAAAACTGGTTCGAAGGGTTTCTTACTGGCATAAGAAACGGCCACACCTTGAAGGGAAGCCGGCTGCGCACTGGAAGTAGGTGAAACATCAAGAGCTGGCACCTCTGTGGAGTGCAGCACGTTTTGACTCAAAGCAGACCCTGATGCCATGAGCGGCAACGCTGTAGAGCTAATTCGATCAACCTTAGGGGCCTCGACCGATATTGGATCACTAGGTACTGCCGGGAGAGCTGATTTAAGCAAGGTGTCCCCATCAGAAACCCGGGAAGGAGTCTGCAGTGTTTCAGTATTAAAAGCAGCTGAGGCCTCGTAAAATAAGAGCTGTGTCGAAGGAGATAAGATTTCAGGAGAAGCAGGATCAGAGAGCACTGGCTCTGAGGCTGCACTAAGAATAGGTCTAAGTAAAGTGTCCACCAAGGCTTGAGACAGAACATGTGTAGGCTGAGTGGCGAAGGTATTTTCAGGAGCAGAGACCTTAGTGGTGGGATAATCGAGGGGCTCTGGGATCAGGCCCTTTGTGCTCGAAAGGAAAACAGGAGTTTCTTGCAAAGACACATTCAGTGTATTGAGATTAGCAGACAGGACCGAGCTTTCAGAACGCAACACCATCTCACCGAAAGGAGGAACTGACAGTTCAGTCTCATTTCCATGTATCACGTCACTTTTAGGAGGCGGCTTATTAGCATCACCAAACACAGATGTTGCATATGTAAATTCAGCCACAGAAACAGGTGAAGAAATGTTAAGGACTAGGAGACCATCTGTGTCAGGTAAAAGCAATTCACTACCCGAGGAGCCCCCAGACCACTCCACATCGTCAGTGAGCGCACGGGTGGGCTGCAGCAGGACTGCAGTGGGGGCTATGAGCGAAGACGTGGGCATCAGCACATGACTAGGGCTGTTCAATAAGAAAGCCTGCTGAGACACCTCAACAGACTCAGGCCCCGGTGCTGCAGAAGCATGAGGCCCAGCGGAGCTGTGCTGGGAGCCCTCGCTACTGGCTAAGACATGAGACAGTTCAGGCCCTGGAGAACGTGCATGCATCATGACATCAGCGCTGCCTGGTTCCACTTGTGAAAACATGAGGGTTTGATAAAGGACACCAGCTTCGCGACCCAACTCCACGGTCTCTGAAGCAGCACGAGCAGAGGTCTGATGTGCTGCCACATCAGGGTACTGAGCAAGGCTGGGCTCTACTAACGCATCACCCCCGGCCACCGGCAGAGATGCATGCGGGGACACCTGAGCACTGTCAAGAGCTGCAGTCACTTGCGGAAGGCCCTGAGAAGCTGTGTACAGACGGCGAGACAAGTCACTACTGAAGGAAGCAGAGGAAGACGGAAGCAGAGGTGCACCCTCATAGGAAGACAGGATGGAGTCAAGTGACACATCAACACTGGGAAATACAGGCGTAGCATGCAAGGCCGAATCACTACTCGAAGCAGCGGGGGTGGTGTTGAGGGTCTGATTGTCAAGCAACAAGGGGGTAACTAGAGGGAGGACTTCACTACTGTAGGAAGGCTGAGGAGGAGTCTCACCATTGAACACCGGTTGGGTTGTCTGCGGGAGAACCACGTTGACAGTGGGGACCGAATCGCGCTGTCCTGAGGATGGAGTAAAAGCATGAGGTGTGACTTCAGTTGGCAAGGAGGCCCAGGTCGAATAATGTGGCATCTCTGTATCTGTGACTGAGGGAATCTGCGACCCCAGGGGGCCCAGGGAGAAGGGCTCAGTTGTCTTTTCAGATTCATCAACATCTGTCTCAGAGTAATTAGTCAGGAAAAAGTGGTCTCTCCCAGATCCCACATCAGGCTCTATGGTCCCATCTGTTGTGCTAGGGAACCACAGGCTCCTGTCAAGGGAAGGATCCTTTACAGACTCTTCCACACCCGATGACACTGAGTCTTCTGAAGCATTCCTCATAGGGTCTGGCATGAGGATATCATCTGTGATTGTCTCTGGGTTTTCTGATGAAAATATGTACCCATGAAATAAGTTCTCAGAGGTGAAAGGTATGACAGAAGTTGCAGGGCTAGAGCCAGAAGAATCATCAACTCCCATATCGAGTTTGAAATTGGGCAAGGAGCTCTCTTCCCCACTGATATCAGTCGATAGCTCTGGCGAGTCCGTGGTAGAGACCGTATCTACAGGCTCTGCTCTCTCAGACACATTCATCTGTGGAAATCTAAGAGCGGTTTTAGAGCCATCATTTAAAGAGGCTGAAGTACCTTCCACAGTGTGAGGTGGGTGTCTGGTCACAGATTGCGAGGTTAAGGAAGCATCTTTTTCTTGGACGACCGTGTGGGATGTAGAAGCTAAAAATGTGTTGGGGACATCACCCGTGGCAGAATATTCGCTCCCTCTTGTCGGGGATCGGTTAGTCTCAGCCTCTCCAAACTTAGTCCCTCCTCGGTTGTAGTTGGTTGTGGTGGGGATCTGCGGCTCCTTTTTCCTTATTTGGTTGATTGCACTATCTTTACCAGGATTCATGGCAGTATCTTCATCACTCTCTTGCCTCTCCTTTAAAAAACAAACACAAGTTAATGGCTTACAAGGAAATAAGAGAAAAACTTCATCTTAATAGCACTATCCTATACTTCCGTATAGTCTGACTCTTCCCTGCCATGATTTTGGGAGTTTTTCCTACTCATAAGGTACCATCCCACAGATGCCACCTCTGTTTTTATTACCTTTACTATTCACTTTGTAAATAAATAATTGCACTTAAGAAAACCCTTTTCTTTATAGCTGCCTTTTATTTTAATGCCATAAAAGGAAGTAATTAAATTAATAGGCTTATAGGAAGGCATTTTGTAGTACTTACTTTTGAGAATGAAATTTAACACGCTACTTATTTTCTTGGTTTTATGTTTCTTTGTTTAGTTCATCTGGCAGCAAGCTAAATAACAATTAGCTACTTATAATATGAAATGGCAATGCAATGATCTCAAAGACCAGAGTAATTTGCATATTCAGGCTAATTAATGGCATTTATTCAGAAGAAGCTATAATTCTCCCGTTACTCTAAGGAAAACTAGGAAAAGAAGAGACTTTGCTTCCCTTCATTTATTTTCCACGTTAACATTTAGGCAGACATTTTAAAGGGACTTTGTAAAAATAAGTTTAAGGTTTCTTGTAAAAGAAAAGAGTAAACGTATACTTCCTTCTAATGCTCTCTATTCGAGCATATGCTAAACTTTATAAAACTCAGATCTCTCTAAAAACCTGATCAACTCCTCAGAAGAACGCTCACTCATATACCAATTTAACAGACAATATCAAGGAATTGATGAGCTCGCATGTTAGGCAGCATCCATTCATTAATTCTATCACATGGGTATAATCTCTAAAACGTTAGGCAACAAACTACCATTTTTAAAAAATTCATTTGCTTGTGGCACTTCTTTTAGAAACCGTGGCAACAGTAGGTAACTATGACAGAATTCAGTACTAGACAGTACGGGTGCAGTTACTTAATGCTTAAAATAGACAGGTGGTTTTGGCCGTGGACCATGGTGGCAATGTATGGCAATAAAAGCCTGCATTTCCTTGACGAGACTGGTGATAAGACTATGGGGGGAAAAAGGTGTTTCTGATATGGACTCAGAAAGAAATGGGAGAATCCTCTAGAGAAAGTGAAGAAAAGACAATCTTTTGTGAAGGGACCAAGCTATCAGCCTTTCCATTGCTGTGGGAACCACTGAAGCCAACAGCAATGTCTTCTAAATGTGTGTCAATTGCTTTAATTTATAATTTTCAAGGGTGCGGGGGGGTGGGGGAGGATACCCTGCCAGCACATTTATTATTAAGAGTAAAACCTGTTTGCTTGCCGAACCTAAACCATTGCTTCAGTAGTCCACAACAACACAAAACATATCACAACAATGCTCTAGGCAACATATGTTTCATTAAGCATAACGCAATACGATATGACTAAACATAAGATTATCTATTCTTTCTGCATCGATACAGATGGAGACTTTACTGTCTTTTTTTAAAAAAGTCAATCTTTTTCTACAGTAGCAAAGAACCTGCATGAGTTTTGCTTGGGTTTTTTTTTTTCCTCCCCTTGATTGTTTTGTGGGAAGCAGAACTTATAAAGGATAGAACTGGATATTTACCTGAGATTTCACAGCAAGACTGTAAAACTGTGGCTCTGTTTATCCTTGCTGCTTATAATAAGAAACGGGGGAAGAAGGGAGAGGGTTTGGGGGGGAAGGTATGCTGATAAAGTAACAGCACATTTGGGCTTGTTGTTCTTGTTATGTGCCATCGAGTTGCTTTCGACTCATAGTGACCTGATTTATGCACAATAGCCCAGAACTCTGTCCTATTCTAAGCTAATCTCACTGTCTCTGACACACCTGCCCCCATTACCACAGTCCTGTGTCAATCCATCTCATTTCTGCTTAGATTGTAATTAATAAAAGTTACATAACTTTCTATTTTAAAAGTGGAGATGTTAAAATTATTAGGTCTTTCTTAAATATCCATTTACCTGGAGAAACAGATACAAACATATAAAAAGAATTGCTTAACATAAATAATCTAATTATATGTGGAAATAATATATAGACTTTTTATTTTGACTCATTTATTATCAATATCTAAATCAATGCTTAAATGATTGACAAATAAAGTAGCTATGTTAAGACTTGGTCAAATAACATTTTAATCCTTTAGAAAAGTCTGAACATTAAAAAAGATCTTTAGTTTTAGTGAATAAGTATAGCTATTTCAAAAGTTTATTATTTTGTTTATTGTCACTAAACCCCTTGCAGCTTTTTGGTATTTTGTGTTGTATTAATCTGAGTGTCTTCCAATTTGTTCATAAAATAATCATGTATATAAAAAACATGGCTGTTTATAAAGTTCCACAATGCACCCCAAAAATATTAAGTGTAAGAATGGTTATGATACCTTGGTAATTTCTTCAGTTCCAGGAAAGAGGTCAAATTCTACAAAATTAAAAACAGAATCATTAAAATTTTCATTCAATACTTCAGTTCTACATGCTTGCCTTTAGCTGAAAAGAGGAAAAAAGAAAATAAAAACTATTAGCTTTCCAAATGAAGAGTATCTCAATGAGGAAATTTCAAGTTTTATTTTTCAACACTGTTGAACTCTCCATAATATAACAACATAACACACCAAAACATCACATCATATCACAACACAACACAACACCACATCACACAACAACATAACATAACATAAAACATAACACAACACCACCTCCACTTGTATGTAATTGCATCCAAACCCTTGTCTGACTCATCCACTCTGGATTCCTTCCTCACTTTCAGCCTAAGTCTGATTGTAATTGAGAAGGGATTGGGGGTTGGGGGAAGGATAATGAGGCTGAAAGAAATGAGTGTAATGAAGTCAAACAATTTTTTGTCAGTGCAGATTTGTTACTTTCACCTAAACAGGGTTAAAAAACTTTACATATTTCAGATTTTACATAGATTTGCAGGATCCTCTTTCTCATTCACTTTGTTTTCTTAATTTCCTTTTCTGAAGAAAGGGAATTCTGCGGTCTCTTCAGATTTGATGTTTGTTTGTTTGTATGTATGTATGTATGTATGTATGTACATACGTACGTATGTCTATTTCCAAGGTCAAACAGAGAGTTACCAGGTCTTTTCCAACAGATCCCAGCCATGGCTGCTGGTGGGAAAGGTGGAGTATAGCGAGGTACAAACCTCTCTAGGGAAGTGAGGAAATACTGTTGACAGCCAGGGTCGTTCAGGTCTGTCCTCTTCCACAGATCAGAATCAATACGTTTCTACACTTAAATATTTCTATCTTTAAAAAAAATGGTTTGTTAGAAAAGTTTAAGAACGACTAACTCTTGATTACATCTCTCCAACAAGTCGTCTATGGACACTGCCACATTTCTAAAGAGTCAGAGAAGAATTGTTCATGAGTCGTTAGCTGATCTGACAAGGTCATTGGGAAGAAGGCGGCGGACAAGGTACAGGAAGGGTTTGAGCACGTGATGATGCTCCTTTTAGAGAATCTTACGCCATCTACAAAGCAAGTTCATGGTCTTCACTGTCTCAGTGAGGTACGTGGTCTAAGTTCTATGCCTTTCCATGTTCCCAAAGGCAATGCAAATTTTATGAACATTTCAAAGGTATAACTGAGTTAACATAAAATGTTCATCAAATCTCAACCAGTTTGCAACACAGACAAACCTACTTGAGTTTATTTGTACCAGAAATTTTCTAGGTATTAAGTAAAGTAAAACCATAAAATGCAGTTATATACAATCAATTAAATTTAGAAGAGACTTCAAACAAAAGTTACCAGTCCACCCAGCAGGGGATTTAGACATATACACTTTAATTTTATTTATTTCTATATTAATTGAGGTGATGGGGGTTGGTGTGTCAGGGCAGGGAAGGGATCAGAGCTGCTGTACATAGGGCCACTATACATCACAGGCAACTAAATGGCACATAACAACTATGACAGGTTTGGAAGCAGGAGTGGTGTCCACTTCCTAAACAACTTGCCTCCGGACACTCTATGAACTTTGATAAATGTCTATAGTTGTAGAGGGGCTTCAGGCCTTTTTTTCCATACAGAGTCCATGAGTCATGCTGAACTCAACAGAAATCAACAACAACAATAATTTTTAGTTTTTAAAATGATGAAAATAGTCACTAAAAACAATTACATTTTGAAATTTTAACTCTCATTTTTCCCCCCTTCGGTTAAAAATGACCAGAAAGGAGTTTAGAATTTTTCGTTTGAATCATTTAGTTTCTCCTTTTCCACTCTCTGGCTTTTATATGACTAAATCATTACTTTTCCACTTCAAAGTAATTTCAATGGCTCAGCCACTTGCATTTCAAAAATCTACAATGAATCACTAAGTATGAATGTAAAACCTGAGAAGTCACTACACTGTGACTATTAGGAACAAGTATTTTGAATACTTTAGAAAAATAGAGCCTACAAAAAGTCTTCATGTTCAGCATGTGAGACAATATCTACATTTATTGGCAATGTTTTTAATGGTTGTTTCTTTTTATGCTCTTATTTTAACGTTGATATCAGAAAATTTCCTTAACCATAATTAAATGTTTAAGACTGGTGTAGCATATATTATCATTTATCTGTTATTATCTGTTAAAAAGACTATAAGACAATGAACAAAACCAAAATCTTAACAATAAAGTTCATTGTATTTATCTGTTATTATCTGTTAAAAAGACTATATGACAATGAACAAAACCAAAACCTTAACAATAAAGTTCATTGTATTCAATGTGGTTTTTAAGGTTCTGTAAAATGAAGACACTCTCTAATCATCAACTTACTGCTAAACATAAAAAGAGGATTTCCATGTTGCTTGGTTTACATGTGGTAAATATATTCAAGATTTATTAACTTTTCTTTCAATATAAGTGTTCACTGTATATATTTCTACTCTGTTACTAGTGCATAAAATACCTATATTGGTCATAGACCTTGTATGTTAAAATACACAATCATGGACAATCTTAACCTCTAACGTGGGCCAATGAACTCTACTATAATTGACTTTTATGATCATGAGCAACAGTTTTCTTTGGGCCCCTTTAAGCCTGAGGGGTAGTATGTGCGGGCCCAAGCAGAAGTTCACACTCTCTTAGTTGTATGGCTCTCTCGTGGGTAATTATGCCACGTCCTGGTGCTTGCATAGTGGTATGCATTAACCTCTTTGCAGGACCTTCACTCTGGCTGCCTGTTGAACTAGTGGCTAAGGGTTGCACTGGCAACCCAAACGTAGGTGGTTTGAATCCACCAGCTATTCTGAGGGAACAAGGTGAGCATTCTCTTCCTGTGTGATTGATAGCCTCTGAAAACTTGCTGGAGGGTCAGCTATGAGTTGGGTCCAACTCGAGGACATTGAGTTGAGGTGAGACTGTTGTTGTTATGTGCCATCGAGTTGCCTGTGACTCATAACGACCCTGTTTACAAACAGCTCTGAACCCTGCTCTATCCTGAGTCAATCTCACCCTTTCCGACATTTCTCCCCCCATTACTCCACTCATTGAGTCAATACATCTCATTGAGGATCTTCCCACACACTCAGATAAGTTTACTTGACTGGAATTTTGTGGCTGCCCAGGAGCCTTCAATAGATCTGCATTGAAATAGTCTAGAAATTTTATAGTACTGAGTGTCCCCAGAAAGATTTTGAATTAAAATAACTTTTGACAAACTGTTTCAATATGTCGAGAGACTATGAAGTCACACTTTTTATTCCGGGAATCCAATACTATGGTAGCCAAGATTTGGTTGACTGATTCACATATAATCTCACATTGGGCACCTCTTGGTCTAGTGCTTCTTCATAATAGTGGTGCTTAATCAGGTTCTGGCCCTACTGGTATATGAAACTGTTTAAAATTGTACTAATTTATAGAATCTTCTCACTTCACCAAGACAGATTCCATGAAGGATATACAAAGTTTGACTGAAAAAATGAAGATGGTCAACATCATTAAAAATGCATGTGTGTGAATGGTTAAAATGTACATGTGTGTGGTAATGGAATAAAAGTTACGCACTCATTCCACTTTTGTTTTGGGGCGCATACCACTAGATATTCTAAAATAACATGATGCTAACACATTAATGTTCCATAATACAAGGAGGCAACACTGGTGAAGGTTGGCCAGCAAGTCTTATTTAATTGTTTGAAAGTAAGCTGTTTGTTTCACAACGCAAAAGGTAAAAAGCAATGCAGACTTCAATCATTTCAAACTGTGATCCTAAATATCATTACATCACAACACTCACAGTGTAGGATGATACAGGTAGAGTGAGGAGGGGTGGATAACGACTTAACAAAGACAACTGTTACACAAATGGAAAAACACACATTGACAGGCAAAGGTGCTGATCTAATTCACCATGCTTTTAATTATCAAGGCCCTAAATATATACTTAAATAAATTCTTCTGTAACGGAATAATAATTATCTCTACACAATCAAAGAAAAATGAATAGAATTAGTTTAAATGAAATACATTTGTGAATTCTCTATTCACAAATATATATTTCCCACAATGTCTTTTAAAAGCATATACATAGCTTCCGAACAATAAGATTATTTTGACAAATTTGTTTCAGAATAGAAATTTTAGCATTTTTTTAAAAAATGACAACCAAAACAATACCTCCAGGATATCAATATCAGTGTGTTGCAACACTATTGTACAAAACAACATTAATGTTGACAAGCAAGAAATTAACCAAATTAGCCCAAGTTAAACACACAATTTGGAAGACTGAGTTTTTCTTCAAAGATTTTTGAATAGAATATTTGAACTCTGAAAGAAATAATGGAGACATTTATAAATGACCTCCTTCATTTTGTTTTAAACCAAGAATATAGCATTTAGAAAACAATCTAATTAATAAAATAAATAAAGTCTACCACAACAGTAGTAAGGTAATGGGACAATATGACTAACAGGATGAAACAATACTTAACAGAAATCATGAAACAAGCACCAAACTTAAAACCACTTGATCAGACACGTAAAGCAGAAAACTCACAACTCCTATTAGTAACATCACTCCAAACTGCAAGACAGACTGCTGTCAAGGCTCAGACTGTGATGTATTTACCATGGACTCAATATTTAAGGCAACACAATTTCAATCCTGGATTTCAAAAGATAGTTTGAAATGATACTGTTGCCATTGCAATAAAACATATTAAGTTCAAAACCATCCAATATTTTCTTTATATAGAATATGAAGAATACATATTTTTTATTAAATTGCATTTTGCTCAAGGAATTTTTGGTAGAAGTAATTAAGGAATTATATAGAGAAAGTACTTTTCTAAAACTCCGGACTGTTAAGAGGCATGTATTACCAAAACATTAAGTAAAATACCATTTTATACCAGGAAGTAATTGTATAGAATGCTTTAAGGGATTCAGTATCCACAAGGATTAAACGGTGTGTCCATGTGAGCATCATAGTATCACAATTTCAATTTTCCCAAGCCTTTAAAAAATAATAGAAATTAAGATATATTTATTAGTATGACCGACTGTGAATCCAATACAAATAATTTAAAGTTCTTGAACTTTGTGCCACCACAGACTCAATTTAAAAGGATCAATTGGAAATCACTCCTGTAGAAAATAAATATTTGATCTCACTTTCCATATGCAATAAAAGCAAAAGAAAATGCAGAAATTTTAAGTCTAGCATGGGACTTAATAGTATCAAATAAATAGCTAAAATCCATTGCTTTTTTAAAAAAAATTCCTGGAAAACTGATTTCATTTTAGAAACTGGGGTGGCATAAGTAAGTCTAGGATAGTAAAATTAAAGGAGGATGTTCAATGTGGTTTGTATCTTTACATACATCTAGAAAAGTAGGAAACTTTTTAATCTAAATATTGTCATATTTAAGGCAATCATTTAATGCTAGCCAAATAAATGGTCAATGTTACACTGCCACAGATGTCATTTTCTAGGGAGATGAACTATGGGGAATTTAGGAGAAAGCTGACTTTCAGTAGAGGAAGAAGCATGAGCTTATGGAGTGACTGTGGTGGTCAGTTAACTTGAAAATCACTCTTAAAGCTCACATTCCATTTAAAAAGAACCTGATTTTAGAAAACAATGCTGAGTGAAGGCAATGGGAAAGATGATGATATGTATGTTACATGAAGGCCGTAAGACTTATTATTATGTAGCAGCATTGCTGCGGGGATAGTCATAAACATTACTTGGCCTCTTTTATTAAAGTTGGAAGACATTTTGGAAAATTCTACATCTAACATCTCATGTTCTAGTGGACAGGTTCCCTAATTTAAAGTGTCAACTAGTTAGAACAACTATGGAAAGTTATGAGAAAAAGCTACAGAAAAACTATGAGTGAATATATATACTTTATTTAAGCTCAGACTGGATTCAAGACCCTGCTAAGTGCATTTAGACCATGAAGGCAAACCAGTGCACATCTATACTTACTACATGTGTAAAAATGTAACGTAACTAATGACTATTATGTATCCTTAAATATTTTTAAAATTCCAGTTCTAAACTTTAGAAAACTTTCATGTTAGAAATGTTCAAATACTCTACAGCTATTTACATCTACACAGTATGTCTAAACTAGCATCACAGAATTACAACTTCAAGTTTCTCACTCCCTTACATAAATAATAGAAATTAAGTTCTAATATCTATTAGTTTTACTAAATGTGAATGTACTACAAATGACAAATATGTATGTCTGTATCATATGTGTGTCTGTGTGAGTGCATATACTATGTATGTATGTATGTATGTATGTAGACATACATGTATTTGTGTGTGCATGTATACATGCACATACTTTGATTATATTACTTTAAATCTATACATATCAATAAAGGGAATTTGATTATATAATTTGTCAGATTATTATGGTCAGCATTTTATTTTCTCAATAAACCGCAAGTGAATGTGATTATTGCATATGCTCTGAGACAAAAATATTATCCCATAATATTTAGAGAAGATGCATGCATATAAAATTAGGGACTCTCTGTGTGGGAGCGTGTATGTGAAACAGTATTGGCAAATCACCTACAAGAAAAACTTCCCAAATCAGAAAATCTGTTGAGATGCTTTGTATAGATATTTCAAAGCACCTCACATGTTACTAGGGTCATGCATATACTTACGACACAATGTTTTACGGGCTGTAAAGAAAGAACATAAATGAAACCAATTCTTATATTAAATAAATGTTTCAATACTCACAAAGTAGTTTTCACATTTGGTTATCATTACAAATATGACAAATCATTTGCTGTTTTCATTTCTAAATAAAAATCTTCAGTATTAAGAATCAAATTTATTGTCCTGAACCAAATGGTTGAATGAAAATGGACTCCATACTTCACAAAATTACCTGGCAATTCAAACTGAAGAGATAACCACTTTCCCTGCCCCAATTGAATATAAAAGTGAGACAGAAGGCAGCAAGAAATTCGACACTACTCTATTTATTAGTATTGAAATCTACCAGGTAATATACTCTTGTTTCTCTTCAGATCGAATAAATCTTTCGCCTTTAAAAAAAAAAAAAAAAGGAAATCTACCAGGTAGGCACTTACCAACATCATCAGAAGGCATGTCGACAATCAGCTGATCACTGTATTTTCCATATAATCCATTAGTGCATATGGCTACTATTTGAAGGACATAACTCATATTGGGCAGTAAATTATTAAGAATAGCACCCTGAAAGAAAGATGTTAGTAATTATACAAACATGTTCTCACAGTGATGCTAACATGCTAAATATTTGTTCTTAGTCAACTTCTCCTCATATGGAAATATTTATATTATGGAAAAAATGTTTGTATTTTATATATCTCCTCTAAATCTTTTGCAATGTGATGTTGAGTTTTAGATAGTTATGAATTACCGAGATACTGGAAAACTAAGTTTATTTCTTTCATTCTGCTTTTTCATAAGATTTCTCTAACGATTCCTTTTTAACTAGAACTCATTTAATTAATGAATTACTGTCCCAAATTTAAAATTATTTTTTATTTTAAAACATCTGCATCTACAAATAGGAAGTATCAGGTAAAAAACACCCTGTAGGTAAATTGGGTAAAAATGAATTTACTTCTTTCATCCTAACAGTATACAAGGAAGATAGTTACAGTATTAGTATCTTCATCACATAATTAAGAAATGAAAAATATTATAATATTCATAAATTCTACAACTTTCCCAGCTCTCAGTTCTATATTCTTTTAAGATAACTGAAAAACTTTGCTAAAATATTTCTGTATTTTCATATAAGAATAAAGACCAAGAGAAAGATTACAATTTTTATTTAAATGCATACTCTTACCACTCTTTGGTCAACTGTTCCCTGCCAAGGCAAATCTTAAAAGTTGAGATGTCCCAGCCACAGAAGGAATTTATACTTCATTTTCTTGAATATGTGTTTACGTGTGTTGTGAAAGGATGAGGGGAATTTTTTCCTAAGAATTATCTATCTCACATCTCCAAAGTTCAGCCCCAGGCATGCTTGGAATATGTCACCTGCATCTGTAAGTCACAACAGTTCAGTCCCCAAGTCTCAGCTGGCTGACCTGTCTCCTCTTCCACAGTAGATGAGAGGGAGTTGATCCTGCCTGAGCAGACAAAGGTCCAGGAAATTGGCAAGGCCCCAACAGTTCAGTCCCCAAGACTTGGTGCTAACGGCTGACCCCCAACCTGTCTCCTCTCCTGTGGCCCAGCATCAATCCCCTACTGAAATCTTCTGTGCCAACACAGTACGATGAACGAAACCAGAGTACTCATCAAGGTATTGAGATTCCACCTCTGACTCTTATCTCTTTTTCTCACAAATGTGAGATCTCAGTTAAGGAATTTAACTGTGTTAGCTGATGAGAAGTCAGTTCAGCAAGGGAACCACAGACACAACAGAACAAAACGATAGCCAATTCTGCCCCATCGTATGACTGGTTGTGAATGAGACCATGAGATCTATAGGTTTTACGTGGCTGACTTTTGGAAGGAGATCATCAACTCTTTCTTACTCCTCTGTCTGAATCTGAAAGCTCTACCGAAATTTGTCCAGCATCATAGTAGCTTCCACTGGCAAATGGGTGGTAGCTGCACTGGCCATAAATGAGACCGAAGTATTCCCCAAGAAGGCTGGGAATCCTCCCATAGAACCACATCAATTTCCTCTGCTCTTCTCTGTTGTTGTTGTTGTTAGGAGTAATTGAGTGAATTCTGACTAGAGAGAGCGACCCTGTAAACAGCAGATCTGACCCAACCTGGCCCTAACCTGTACCATGTTCATGATCTCTGATATGACTGAACTCACTGTCACAGTTACTGGGTCAATCCACCTAGCTGAGGGTCTTCTTTTCTTTCTCTGGCCCCCAATCGTTCCCAGTGTGACTTCTTTTACCAAGGACTGGTCCCTCATGGACAACATGCCTAAAGTATGTGAGACAACTGTCCTCTAGGTCTACTTTTTGATAAAGATGGCCTATACTACCTGATTTAAATCAACATTAGGATGGATAGTGAAGAGATTGAGATTGTTCACAGCTTTAGTTTGCTTGGCTCCACAGTCAAAACTCTCGGCACCAGTAGCCAGGAAATTAAAAGACATATTGCGATGGGAAAGTCTGCTATTAGGGACCTCTCTCCAAAGTACTGAAGAGCAATGGTGTCTTTCTGGAGACTAAGGTGCATATGGTACAGGCCATGGTCTTTGCAATCACTTGTTATGCATCAGAGAGTTGGACAATGATTAGAAAGGATAGAAGAAGAACTGATACTTTTGAGCTGTGGTGCTGGAGAAGAGTATTGACGGTACCATGGACTGCTAGGAAAACAAACAGATTCATCCTGGAGAGGGTTAAATCAGGCTGCTCCATGGAGGCAAGGATTCTGGGGTTTTATCTGACATACTTTGGACATGTTCCAAGGAGGGACCAGTCCTTGGAGAGGGATGTAATCCTCGGGAGGTTGGAGGGACAGCGCAGGAGAGGAAGACTCTGTTTGAGATGGATTGGTTCAGTGACTGGGGTAATCGGGGTGAGTGTGTGGGAGGCGGTGCGATTGGCACAGGATAGAGCAGGTTTTAGGGCTCTTGTACATAGGGTTGCTATGAGTCGCAAGCTACTTGACGGCACATAACAACAACAACAACATACTATCTGATCTCCATTTTACAAGTCTTCCATATGGCCATGGCTTTGGTATGAACAAAGTCCCAATACCCTTACATTTCAATGCACAGAACTTAGTGTAATCCGAGGTAAAGCTTGACATACCTTGGTAAGGATTCTATTCCCCATCAGAGAACTTTCTTACCACATTAAACTGTAAGCCCTGAGCAAAAATACATAATGGTTTGGGATTTCTTACCTTGGAAACGAAACTGTAATGGTATCGTGTTATCCATACATAAAATAATTGACTTTATAGTTACCAAATCTTGATAGCCATCTGTCAGAAATTCATGCTTGGTTTGATCTTCTCCTTCCAGCTGCTGGTAAAGGACCGCAAACTTCTCGATCATGGTGTCGTACACTACCCGAGGTCTCTCCCATGTTACAAGGAGACTGGTGTAATTTTCTGGGTCAGCCTGAACGTTTTCTGGTTCTGAACTACAAACTTCAGAGAAAAGAAGATGTAGGTGTTGATATAACTGTTGCTTCTAAGATCTGAAGTCAAACAAACTCTATGAAATGAATCTTACCTTCTTTATTAGATTACAAACAGTAACAGAGATTTAGACCTTTATGCGGCCCAAGGCAATGTCTTGAATTGATTTAGTATAAAAAAAAATTTTAAAAATTTAAAAAATAATATAACCAAGTCCATGGCATCCATTTCTGAAATAGCTAGCCTCTGGAAGCTGTATGAACTTAGAGAAATCATGAAACTTATACAAGTGTTCAGGTGGTTCATAAGGTCATTCTACAACACCTCTTGTTTAGGATGTGAAAAAGTAAATTTAGTTTAGGATGAGAAGACTTTTAACTCATAATAGCTCCATCTCCAGAAATCCTTGGTAAAAGACTATAGATACTGAGAAACTCCAGGGTGAAATCTGAGAAGATTTTAAATTATAAAAAGGAATTTGTTAGAAATTTTGTTATCAGAGAAGCTGTAGAGAAATTAAAAACCAGCCAGAGAAAACCAATGAATAACAAAACCATCATTTCAGTACTTTTAAAAGGTGTGTTCATAAAACTCAACTTTGACAATCATGCATGACACAAATAATAAATCATACAAATAATTCCTGAGGATTTTATTTACTTGCCTCATTTGAAAATAGTATTTTGAAAAGTTGTTCAGGGATTTCTTCACATGAATTCATACTCATGCTGGGAATCATGGAAAAAAGATTGAGTTTCCTCTTAGAGAGAACCCTGACAGTTTTTTCTAAAATATATTCATAAAGTGGTAGTTTGGGTTATGTGGGAAGAGAAAAGTGTTAACAGTTGAGGTTACTGTGCTGTTGAAGGAAAACAGGAGGATGAGGTCTTCACAGACCAGACAGATTTGCAAAGGAGAGCGAAGGCCAAAGGAGACGCAATACGCCTAGAGATCGGGACAGACTTTCAGGGCACACCTGGAGAAACACACAGGGATCTCAGTCAACCAAGCATGATGTGGAAATTACATCAGAGACGCAGGAGGAACCTTCTTAGCTGGTTACTGGGACAGGAAGGGAGACAGTGGAGAGTAAAAGTCAGTAAGTAGGTAATAGACACAATTTAAATGGGTTAAGAGAAAGACTCTTCATAGGAGGGGGGACAGGAATAAGAAATAAAAGGAAAAGTTCAGAGAAGTATAGTTTTCATGGAAATCAGGATTTACAGGGAGGAGGTCAGAAAAGTACGATTATCTCGTGGGTACTGACAAGAACGTTAATAGACAGAATGTGCATGAATGTTGTGTCCCATCGAGTCGGAACCGACTCACGGCTGATCCTCCACAGGTTCTCTGAGCCAGTAACTGCTCAGGAGGAGACCACTTGGCCTTCTCTTGTGGAGCAGCTGGTGGCTTTGAACTGCGTGCCTTTGGGATGTAGGGCAGATTCTTACCACTGGGCCACCTCCACATACATCAAAACAAAGAACACACTATACATACTTATGAACATTTATTTTGCTTGTTTGTTTGTTTTTTGGTTTTACTTTTATTATTCTATTAGTTTATTTACAAAATTCAAATACAAATGTGTTTGTATTTGAACTTTATAAACACTTTTTTTTTAAAGAAAATATGTCAGTAGAAACTTTGAAGCAACTAAGCATCCTTTCTGTCTTGACTGTGTATATGGTTCACCGTCTCTTATGGTTTCTGGAGGTGCACAGTGAACTGGGCTGATAAGCCAAGGGCAGTGTATCTCTGGTGGTTTGAATCCACCCGTGGCTCCCCACGGGCCAGTTCCTCCAGTGGGATTTACAGCTTCAGAAGACCTACTCGAGGGTCAGCAAGGGTAGGCTCCAACTCCGCTGCAATGATTTTTTTTTAATCATAGTTCATCATGTGAACACAGGAGGGAATAAAAAACTAACAATCTGGCCTTATAAATGGAAACTTGAATCTTATGTTCAGTATTTAGCATCATCCATTTTATTTTGTGTATGTATGCTGTGCCAGCAACAGTCCATGGATACTTTAAAAAATGATGTGTGTAATTTTATGTGAATAAATGTCTGCATAACGACACATAATTTAGAGTCTCAGGATTTTTCACTTCAAAATATGTGAGGCTTACAAATGTCCAACCACAAATGAATGTACTGAGAAATTATGGTACCTTCACAAAATGGAATACTACACAGCATGCATGAGCAATGATTTTGTAAATTACTACCTAACTTGCGAGGAAATGGAGAGCATTATGCTGAGTGAATTCACTCAGTTCCACAAGGACAAATATTGCATAAAACCATTATTGTAGAACGAATATAAGGATCCAAGCAATGGGGAGGGGAGTAGAAGCAGAGAAACGTGGATGTGCAGGGGGAGGGGGAGATTAATCATGGGGTTGTACAATTTGATGGGTGGGGGGTGAGGGAAATTGGAAGAATCTGTTCTCGAAAACAATGTATTCAAATTTTGTAAATAAACTAGTATAAAAACCAAAAAACTATGTGGCTTAAAATAAAAATAGAGAAGGAAAAAATCACCAAAAACCTATGGGGCTCCTCTCTGTTTAGGCTGGGTTTGGATTCAGAGTGTGTTTGTTTTGTTTTAATTTTTAATAAGAAGACAGTTATTTCATTAAAATAAACTCAGAAGAGCAAAACGTAGTCTAATTTTGGTTTAGTCTATATAGTGACACTTCTACTCATGTCCACCAGATGGCAGGATACCATCACATCATCTCATAATGGAGCTACTCTGGAAAATCAGGACTGCTTGACTGCTTCTAAAGAATTCCAAGTCCAGTTTTAGAAGGCAGAAAGTTATTCTAGACAACATCTGTTGCAGATTCTGTCCTCCAAAATAACCCTCTACTTTAGAGAGTGAATGACTTAAATGAATGATTATTTTCTCCAAGAGAAAACTCTTATGATGTGATAAAGTTTGCATGCGTGCACAGAAAACAAAGAAATCTCTTAAAGAAAATGCCAAATTAGTATCTAAAAAAACACCCAAAGAACTGCTGCTTAAACAGCACAAATTATTTTTGTTGGGTTTCTATGCTTTAAGCTCATCTTGCCTTAATAGTAAAAATCAGTGGATGATTCAAATGTTAAGATTCAGCACTTACATAAAATGCAACTCAAAAAGCACTGTGTGTTTCCTTGTCATCATAATTCCACTCCCTTTCCCTCTTCCTGCAAGACTTTATGATTTAGCTTAACAGTTTAAAGTTTACATTTTAATCAACTCTTTTTTATCTTCTTTTTAAAAATACCTTTTGCTTATAATCAATGATTTAGTAAGACATTCTTAAACATCAGACGATTCTTACCTTTTAGATGCTGACATTCACAATTTATGAAAAATATATGCATATTCATACACCTTCATGAGAAAACTCTAAAATACTAGAAACCAAAGATGTTACTCTGAGCACAAAGGTGCCCCTGACGTATGACCAGGTTATTTCAGTTGCCTAGTGTTACAGAGTTGCGTTGTCAACTCAAAGGCAGGTAGTTCAAATTCAAGAGCTACTGAATGGGAAAAAGAGAGTTAATCTTCTCCTGTACAATTTATAATCTTTGAAAATGCACTGGAGGGCCAGCTAGGATCCCACTCAACTCAACAGCACACTACAACTCTCTCTGTGTGTGAATGTATATAAAAATATAAAAAAGGTTGTCAAGTCGAGTTGAATCTGACTGATAGCAACCCCTTGAATGATAGATCTGAACTCTGCTATATCCTGCGCCGTCCTTATCATCCTCAACACATCTGAGTCTATTGCCCTAGCCACTATATCTATTCATCTCACTGAAGTCTTTACAAGAATGATGTTCTTTTCCAAGGAATAAATGTCCAAAATATGTGTAATGGAGTTTTACCAACTTTGCCTCTAAGGAACATTCTGGTTGCACTTGCTCCAATATACATCTGTTTTCTTCTGTCCTTCTTATTCATTGTCCAGCTCTCAGATGAATAGTAAGTAGGTGATTGGAAACACTGTGGTTTGAGTTAGGTGCTCTTAGAGCTTCGCTGGCCTAGTGGTTAGAAGCTCTGCTGTAAAATCAAAGGCTCATGGTTTGAATTCATCAGCTGCTCCACCGGAGACTGATGGGCAATCTCCTCTTGAGATTTACTGCTTCTGAAAACCCACTGAAGCATCAACTATGAGTTGTTTCTGACCTTATGGTATCCTCCTCCTCCTCCACCACCACCACACAAACACACACGCACATCCACACTCACACATCCATAAATGCAAAAAAGCAAGTAATGAATACAGAAGATTGAAGAATTAATGCATTTCAATTATGATGTTGGTAAAAGTAATAAAGATTATTAGAATGAACAAATCTACCTCAGAAGTTCAGTCAGAATGCTATTTGAAGGCAGGAACTCCCTGTCACATATTTTGGGCATGCTGCCAGGAGAGGGAGCTTCTTACCACGAGGCCACCACAGTAGGGGATAAAACTCTGGTGGCCCAGCAGTATGAAGGTAAGCTGCAATCCCAAAGGCAAGCAGTTCAAATCCACCAGCTGCTTCAAGGGAGAAAGATAGGCAATCTCTTCCAGCATGATTAACTGCCTCTGAAAACCCACTGAAGGTCAGCTATGGGTTGGTTCTGACTCAATGACAAACAACAACCAATTTAAAATAAATAGAAAAGATCTATCACTGTTAATAATAAATTTAAAAGATATTAAATCTAAAAGAGCTATACTCCCTTAAATGATTACATCTTTTACTTTGTAGTAAGTAGCTTTTCTGATTCTATCTTCTTCAGTCAGCCTTTTCCCTAACAACACAGTGTAATCTCATCAATAGCCCAACTTGAAAGGGAAAATTTTCTAAGAAGTAAATACTCTTCATTTTGCTTCTCTGCATGTATTTCAAGCAGGGAGCTAATGTATATCCGGCCTTAACAAATGCTATTTTCATCTACTGACCTTCAAGAAGGTGAGTCCAGTACATATAATTAATTCACCATGACATTTCCTG